TAAAGAATCAATATAACAATGTCTATAATTATTATTAGCTGTTTGGAGGAGTGGGTAGAGACCTGGACTTGGAGCCAGGAAAATATGGGTTCAAGTCATCCCTCTAACACATCCTGGCTGTGTGACCCTGAGCAAGTTGTTTAATCTCTAGGAAACTAAGACTATATATTTCAAAGAAGGTGCTGACCTGCATTGGTGGAGAGACTTTCTTCACGTGGGAGTTCCCCATAGCAATGAATTCCCGCAGGGCCAGTCTCTATCCCACCATTATTATTACATATCTTCGAGGAGAGAGCCCTAAACTGGGAGTCACCAGTTCCAGCTTTGTCACTAATGCCAAGAGCATACTGTGTGACCTTGAACAGGTCACTTGCCTCCTCTTGGTCCCAGTTTCTATCTCTGTACCCAGTTCAATGCTCTCTTTCTTCCAAGTTCAATGACATTTTCCCAACATCGAGCTGCCTTTATGTAAATTGAGGAGTTTGGACTAAATGATCTCTAAGACCCCTGGATTTGGCTGGGACATTCTACTCTTGTAGAGGCAGTGTGGTGCCATGGAGAGCAAGCACTAGCTTTGGAAACAGAGGGCTTGTGTTCCAATTCCACCTCTGACCCTTTCTCTGTGTGACTTTGGGCACATAAGTCCCCTGTTTTGGGTCTCAGTTTCCTCATCTGTAAAATACTGTGGTTGGACTAGATGACCTCTGAGGTCTTTTAGGACTCTAGTTTTCTGATTCTAATACCTCCAAGGAGGAAGAGATATTTAAAAACAAAACAAAACAAAACAAAACTGTGGGTTTAAAAAATTATTTTGTTTTGTTTTTGAGAAAGGCAGCCCAGCTCTAAAGGATTTCCTTAGGAAAGCAAAGGCACAGTCACGCCTACCACCTACTATACAGCTCTGGGGACAGCAGTGAGGAGGGGGCCTGCAGTTTGGATGGGGGAGGGTTGTAGCAACCCCCATCCCTGACTATCTAGAGTGTGTGAGAGAAGGGGGAGGAGAATTGGGAGCGGTGGGGAGCCTATTTCAAATTGTACCTTATGACCACAGAAAGTTTAGGAGAAACCACTGTGCCCATAGACAAGGTCTCTGGAGCCAGGCCCCACTATGCCCTCTCCCGAAGGATCAGATTTATTTTTCCCATGACAATATTGTTGTGCATACTCCCTTCCCCCAATTTCATGAGTGGCAGGTGATCCAAATACTAATGACAACTTTTATGTGAGAAGCCTTGCCAAGGACATTGTCGGGGGATGGCAGACTCAGAAAAGGCAGTGGGCTGAGCCTGAATTGAGGCGTTTAGCCTAAGTAGCCCTAAGGTCCCTTCCATTTCTAGGTCTGAGATCCTTGGGCCCTTTGACAACCTCGGGGCTGCCAGGGCACCCAGTGCTCCAGAGGAACCACGTGGAGTGGTACACTTTTGGTGGGGAACTGTGACCAAGGGTCCCTCAGCAGGGATATGGCATATGCCCCTGAGGGAATGCCCACCTGGGGGAGTCATGAATCTGCCCAAGGAAAAAAACACTCTCCTGAGCCTCTCCAGCTCCAGCAGGGTCCCTACAGCACCTTGAGTCTGAGCTAGAGCCCAATCCCTGACCCCCTCTCCCGTACTTAATTTCTTCCACTTGGCCCAGCTCCGGGAGGCTACCCCCTGGAGGGGCCGACAGGAGTTGGGCGGGATGGGGATGGACTTTGGGGCCCCAAAGCCCCAAGTGGGGAGTCACCCAAGGGGGCAGTGGGGCAGGGCAGTTTCCCCAGGGCAGGCTCCAAGAAATCTTTTTTTTTTTTCATCTCTGCCCCTCCCCTGGCCTAAGGGGGAGGATTCTCCTCTCAGAAAAATAGCATTTGACCGGCCAAGCAGTACACTGCTCCTGCCTCTGGGAACCATGGCCATGGCAGGGGCAGCTTTGTGGGAGAGTGAGTCGGAGGAGCCTCCATCCCCACCTCACTACGTGGTGCAAGGGAAGAGACAGAAGACTGAGAGATAGGAGACCACTGGGAGTGGCCTCACCCAGGACTCAGTTTCCCCATCTGGAAAACAAAGGGGTTGGACAAGATGAGCTTTAAGGCCTCTTTCCACCTTTGTCATTGGATGGTTCAGTGTCCTGGATCCTCTCCCCTACCTCCACCCCCAACTCCAGCCTGCTGACTCACGTTGCATCAGATATTAAAGGAGGGGGTGGGGCAAGATTGGGAATAGTGGGGCCAACAACTTCTGTAGCTGCTGAGGGAGACCTTGAGGGCTGGATCCTGCCCAGCCTAGGGCAGAGCCTCCCCTCCCCTAGCCTTTGAAGATGAAAGGCAGAGGGTAGACATGTAGTACGTTCCCCAATCAATCAATCTGCATTTATTAGGGGGATAGAAAGACATAAATGAAAGCCAAATTGAGGTCTCACTGAGTCTGTACAGCCTAACATTCATTAGACTTTTCCATTAGACTATACATGACCGAGTCTTATCGCCAGCCCTGAGCTTCCTTTCCTGAAATCAAGTCCTCTATCCCTGACACTGAACCCCCATTCCAGACATTGATTCTGCATCCTAGACAAGGAACCTGTATCCCTGATCCTGAGCCTTCAGCCCCAGCAATGAGGATGTCTCTGATAGTGAGTTTAAAGATTCCTGACACTGAACCCCCATATTCAGTACTGACTCCACCTTTCCATGTCCAGCAGGGAGCCCCTGTCCCTTAAATCAAGCTCCCCACCTGTGTGTAATTTGCCTCAGGGACTTGACAAATTTCATACTCTTTTCCTCGGAGCCATTGAGGGAACAGAAGAAACCCTCACTCACGTTTTCAAAGTCTCTGGCCCCTGTGCAACTCTCAACTCTTAAATGCAGTTTGCTGTTAGAGCCACTTCAGCTGCACATATCCCCTCAGCACTGCCCTGCCCTTATCCAGCCCTATCCCAAGTCAACACCTGAAGTCCTTGCTGCCTCCTCCTGTTAGAACTTGGCATCGTCAGCCTCTTCCCATGCATTGTTCTCCCTTAGGACCACACAATCTGACTGCCTGCATCATCTATGGAAGCCCCCACCCAAGACGGTAATCTGTGCTCTCAGTCCTCCCCTCCTTCATCCTGGGCCTCCACCACTCTCACTGCTGGACCTGGAGCAACAGTCTAATGCCAGCAGTCAGGTAGGTAACAAGGCACAGCATCCTATGCTTAGCAATGGTGGATGCAGTCCTTGACTACCGTGGGAAGGTGTGAAAGGGAGATGAGGAAACTGATATATGTAAGGCACTACAAGTAAACGGAGATGAGGGGCAGATCTGGTCTGGGGGGGGGGCTGGATTGCTCTCTCAGAGAATAAGAAAAGGGAAGGGGGAAGCTGCCTCTTTGTTTTGAGAACGGGGTTGGGATTCCTCATCCCTATTCCCTACTGGAAAGGGAACATTTCAAACCGTTCTTCATTAAGCTATGAGGGACTCAAAAAGCCCAGTAAACAGCAAACTACTGTCTCAACCCTGAAAATAGGGTGTCCCCCTTCCCCATTCCCTGGACACAGCCTCCAGGTTTGGTTCTGACAGTCTTCAGATCATTATTTCTCCATAACCACAGGCAGTGAGGCTAAAGAGCCTGTGAGTCACCTGAGAATTCTTTCCCTTCCCTTGGCAACTCTCCTTCTCCTCACCCCACCTACACCCTGTTGTCTAGGGGTAGATGGTTGAACTAGACTCCTGGGGGCCATGCACTTGTCATCTTCCCCATGAGACACTTTCAGATTCCCACACTTCTAAGTGCCCTTTGAATTCTGAAATTGTAGTTAGTGATCTGTCCATAGTGATTGATAATGATCTATCAATACTGATCTCTTCAGTAGAATACTGTTTGTATAAGCTCCCTGAGGACAGGAACTGTTTTGGGTTTTTTTCCCTGAGTCTGTGATTTCCTGGATGTAGGGAACTCCCAGGGAGGAAAATTCTTTCCTCTGCATTGTATAATCTTAAAGAACTACCTCAGCAACAGAAGCTACATGACTTGTCCAGGGTCATACAGCCAATGTGTCAGAAGTGGGGGGTTGAACCCAGGTCTCCCTGACTCCAAGACCAGCTTTCTCTTCATTGGGCCACACTTAGGTGCTTAATAAATGTTTGTTGAATTGGACTGAAATCAAAGATAGTAGGGCAAGCCGTATGGAGCTACTCCCTCCCTTCAGAGACTTCCCTCACGGACGCCAGATTCTACTATTAGGAATTCAGTCCTTTGGATTCAACATTACCCTCTCTAGGTTCCACAATCTCTCATACTTCAGAGGGAATGAAATGATCAGACTCTTTTGTCTAGACAGGTCAAACCAGGGCTATAGGAAGGGACAAATATGGGAGAGGGGTAGCAAACATGTGAAAGGATGCTCAAAGGGAGAGAGGTGGGGAAGGGCACAGGAAGAGAAGGCAGGCAGGGGTCTCTGTGAGTTCATCATGCTCAAATGAGTTCCCCTCTCTGGGCCTCAGTTTCCTCCTTTGGGTGTCTTCGGAAACTCATCTCAGTCCTACTGCACAGAGTTCTTCTCTTCCTTCAGGACTTTGCTTGGGCATCACTTTCTCCATAAAGCCTTTCCTGCTTTTCCCAACTGCTAGTACTGTCTTGCCTCAACTACCTAGTATTTGTCCGTATTTATTCTCTTTATATTTGTTTTGTATACACTTACATATATACTTGTTATCTCCCTCCCACCTCCACACACATGGTAGAATGTAAGCTACTTGAGTGTCTGCATTTTTTTTTTTTCACATCTTTTGTGTTCCCAGTGCCTAGCACTGTGCTTGGCCCATAGTTGGAACATGAATGCTTGTTGATTGATCAGTAAAGTGAGGGGGATTGGATTCGATGACCTCTAATGTTCTTTCTGGAACTGGTACTCTATAACAAATTAGCTAACAAACAAAAACAAAAACAAAAACAAAACAACTTCCCCGTTGAAAAAAATAAAATAAAAGCCAGCCCCCACATGTGAGGGAACAACTGAACGCTCACCCCACATGACCAGGACAGTGTATACTTTGCATTTTATTGTATTCCAACCATCTCAAGGAAACTACACCTCGACTCAGGATCAGAAAGAAATAAAAGAAAAATGAAAGGAAAAGCCAGGCTGAATCCCGTCTCAAAGCGGATTGAAACAGAAGAGCATCCTGGCCTACCCGAGGGGACAGGGCACAGACTTGTTCTCCATACTGTGGGTCAGGTTACCCCCTCTCCCTCCCCCCCAGATGGACACTGACTGGACTGAGGAAGACTTGGTGATATCCCTGATGCACAGCTCCTGGGTAGAGGGTGGGGATCAGAAGGGATGAGGGAGTGCTGGGGGAATTGAGAGGGAACAAGGGGAGGTGGGGTCCCTAGGGCCCTACCCCCATGCCAGGGCCAGAGCGATGTGTGCCTGGGGTGGGGGTGGTGAGGAAGAGACCTTCTCCCCCAGGGAAAGAGCAGCAAGGGCCAGAGACCCTGACACCTGGCCTGGCAAGGTGGATAGGGTGTATGTGGTGGGGAGAGGAGTGGTCCTGGCCTTCAAGGCCTGGGGGAGAATAAATAAGACACAAATAAATAAATTAATAAATAAATTACATAGCAGCCTAGTTCCCTGGGGGAGGGGAGCGTTGCTCACTTAGAGTAATACTGGCCCTGGAATTCACAGTCCCTTTGAGGCTCTGAGTCCAACTTTGAGGGTTAACTAGCCCCCTTCAAGTGACTGTCTCTGTAGGTCTCATTGGAATTGGAGTCACTTCTCAGGACCAGATTTGGAGACCCCAGGGCCTGTCAGATGAAAGAGATGAGTGTATATGCAGGGAAGGGTTGTCTACCCCAGAGGAGGACCATGCTGAAGGCTTAGCAGATGGAGCTACAACCCAGACAGAATTCATAATGGCAGGGGATATTAGCCCTGGGGAGGGAGAAAGGACATTCTGGGTGAGGTTTCTTTCCTGAGTCCAACCATCAGACTGATGTGGTCACTTGCACCTCCCCCCGCCCCATGTCCATCTCTGTTTCTTGGAGTGGGAAGGTCAACTACTCCATTCCTCTGCCTCTGGGTATGTGCCCCTTCAGCTACCTTAGGCTGTGTCTCCTGCCTTGGAATCACTAGAGGTCACCTTGGGATCACTCCATGAATGGCCCCATGGTTCAATGGTCAGGGAGTCTTTCCTTTCGTTTGATCTAGGTCCTACTCACTGTATTGTTGGACCGTCTCTCCCGGTTGTTTCTAATGGGAATTGAAGCCAGATGCTCTCTTTTTCAGGAGCATTTCTGGACATCAAGCATTGAGTTCCCCCAAGAGAAGGCCAAAGGAAAGTCCAGATGGCTAAGGGAAAGAAAAGGTCTGAGAGAGGGAGGTAGATGTGAAGGGAGTTACCAGGCCTCATGTCTTCTGCCAACCAAACAGGGAGGGGAAGGGGGTTTCGGATACATTCTGGGAGGGAGGGGTTTCATCTCCTTGTGCCAGCTCCCCAGGAAGTCCCCTTCCCCGTGGGGTGGGTGGCTCAGGGCAGAGTAGGACTTGGGGGCAGGGATTGAGCACGTCCTGTGTTCGGTGGCTCTTGGTGCTCTGGGGCAGTGCCCAACCCCAAGGAATGGAGAGGGCACCTTCTGGAAGCAATAGGATCCCGATCTTTGTCATCAGGCCCTGTGCCCAAATTGGGCAGAGGTCTCTGGGGTTCTGGGGTGCACCAACCCCATTCCCATAAGGACAGAGTTCCCCTGTTGCCAACCCAACCTTGTACAACAGGGTCAGAGGAAAAGGGGTGAGAGGATGGGGGGAGAATCTTCCCCAGCCAGGCTGAGTCCCCCCTGGACACTCCCTGACCTGGGGCCAATTCAGGGGGCAAGAGTCTCCATCCACCTGTTGGTTGCGCTTTTCTTTGCCCCCAAACTGGAGATAGGAGCTCTCCCTGGTGCTGGTTTGGAGGATGACAGTGATAGATGGAATGGGTGAATTTGGCCTAGCAGGGCCTTTGGCCTGGGCTGCCCAGATACCTGGGTCCACCCTGTGGGGTGTGAAGAAATATGAACAGAGCTGGCGGTGGTAGGAGTGAGTGGGTATGCAGGGGAAAGTTTCCCACACCCCACAGGAGAATGGCTCCACCTGCCCCTCCCCCCTGGCTCTGTCCTGCCTCCTGGTCCTCTGAACCCAACCAAGCTGGGTCTCTTGGGCCAGGGGTAGGTGGGGGTGGGGGCTCTCGAGTAGGAGCAGGAAGGAGCGGGCATCCAAGGGAAAGGGAGCATGGACCTCTCGGGGGGTCAGAAGCCACCGCTCTCCGAGCTGCTGCGGCTGTTGTAGCTGGGACTGGGGCTGGGACTGGGGGTTCTGGAGGGGCTCCGGGTTCGGCTGCGGCTCCCACTGCGGCTGCTGTAGCTGTCTGGGCTGTGGCTGCCACTCCGACTGCGGCTATAGGTGTGGCTGCTCCAGGAGCTGGAGGAGGAGGAGGAGGAGGAAGGGCTGGGCCGGTAGTAGGGGATCGGGCGCTTCCGGGCACTGCAGAGGGAAGGGAAGGGCATCAGACTCAGCAGTAGCAGCTGCCACAGCAAGCCCAGCCAGCGGGGCTGACGTGGCTGAACATGCCTGAGCCCTTGGGTGGAGAAGCTGGGGCTGGGACTGGGGGGAGAAGGGAATCATGTTTTCCATTAGAGGAAATACTCATAGGACCCTGGAGAGCCGGAGCCCAAAGGGTCCTCGGATCCCCTTGAGTCCAACCCGCTCATTTTATAGATGAGGAGCCTGAGGTCACAGAAGAGTCAAGTAACTTGCCAAGGTCACACAGATCTGGGGTTCAACATTAAGTCCCCTGCTTCCAAATCCAGGAAGTATTTTCCACCCATCTGCTCTCCCCACATTCACCCAGTTATCTGGGTTCATTTTGTGGGAACTCAAAGAGGGTGGGAAGGAAATTGGTGGCCTAAGCCCCAAAGGCACCTTCATTTTCCAGAAGAGAAAACTGTGGCCCAAGTGGGCAAGTGACTTGGCCAAGGCCACACAGTGGGTTCAGGGCTGCAGCTATAGCCCAGGGCTCTTGAATCTGGGTCCAAGGCTCTTTCCACTGAACCAGGATATTTTCTACCTTTCAGATCTTGGGGAAATGACCCTGTGGGCCCTTGTCCCCATCCCCAGGAGAAACTAGGTGCCCAGTCTCCCTCCCCCTTCCCCTGCTCCCCTCTTAGGTGCTCAGGTTTCTAGAGGTTAGCCTAGAGCCAGGTAGCTGTGGTCAACAGAGGAGAAAGGAATGATTAGAAGGTAGTGCCCCAGTTACCCCAGTTAATACAGGGAAGGAAAACGCTGTGGGGTTAGTGAGGGGGAGGCAGCCTGACCTGGGGGAGGGCAGGAATCACCTTATTCAGGGACAGTAATGGTCCAGTGGTCAGAGCTGGTGCCTCTTCCCACTCACAGAAGGGAAAAGTAGGGCCATAGTTTGGGAGCTGGAAGGAACCTCAAAGGCCGTCTAGTTTAACCCTCTCATTTTCCAGATGAGGAAACTGAAGCAAAGTCGTTCAGGGTCACAGTGGTACTAGCTTCTATCACAGTGCCTAGTATACAGTAGGCACTTAATAATGTTTATTGACTAAGTGGAAGTGCCTGGAAATGAACCCAGGGCCTCACACCCCCAAACCAGAACTCTTTTTACTGTATCACATTGCCTCGGAGTTTGATTGAGAAGTCACCATCCTCAGTCTTCACACCTTGCATCTGGTGGACAGAGAGAAAGTGAGGCTTGGGATGGGGAGTCCTTCATCCAAGAGAGATACCAACAGGGGGGCCTAAGTCCCAGTCAGTTCTGGGGATGGGGGGGTCCCAATTCATAATTGGCATCTAACAAAGCCACTGATTGCTTGGATTTCAGGGCAGGCACTGACATTTTTATCTCATCCCAGGGGTCAGGGGCAATTCAAGGGGTTTTTGAAGGAATCCATGTCCAAAGGGCTAGGCTATCTCTGCCTTCAGCCTGAGCAGGCAGCTGGGATCGTGTCAGCTGTTTTTCCCTTGTAATAGACCTACAGAGAAATATAGTGGTAAGGCTTGGGAGGGGGGAAGTTGAAGGAGGGAATGGCACGTGTGGAGCTTGAAAGAAAGGGAGAACCTCCTAGCCACCAGATCTTGTTTTCTTCCCTCTCCTCCCTCCCCCTCCCCCAATTCCTAGAGAGGATTGAAAGCTAGGTAGAGAGGTTAGTCTTGTCAGAGGCAGACAGACAGACTGAGAGAGCTGAACACCTCACACATGGATTTTCCAGGCAGCCCTCAGGGATGGGGGAGGGTCCTGATGGAAGGTTACCATAGTAACCGAGCCGGTCCCCCCCTCCCCCATCCTGGCCACAGCTTTTCTCCTCGTGGAACCTTGAGACGGAAGGGAAAAAGAAGAAGTCAACTGGGGAATGAGGCCCTAGGGGTGAGTGAGAGGAGTCTTAGAAGACCCTACCTCACCTAGCCCTGCTGATAAAAGGCTGGCTAACTTCTCCAATCCTCTTCCTTAGACAGCCCTTGAATCCATAGGATTCAATGCTGAGCTTCTCTCTCTCCCACACACTCCTTTGCCCATGAGTGTTAACACAGAGCCTTGAGCCCTGATACTCAGTCTCCATTTTGGACATTAAGCGTCTTTCCCCAGCACCCCAACCATTATTCCCAGCACACAGCTGACACTGTGCTTCTGTCCTTGACAATGAACCCTGATCCCTGACCCTGAGCTCTCATCCCTGGCACTGACCCCTTATCTTTGACACTAAACCTCCATTACTGACATTGAACCTCTATCCCAGACATTGAGCCACCATCCTTGACATGGAGTCCTGATCTCCAACCCTGAGCTGAGCTCTCAACTCTGACACTGAATTTCCATTTCCATCAGAGCCCTGATTCCTGGCATTGGTCAGTGACCCGGGCTCCTATCCCCATCCTTGACCTTGTGAGGTCAAAAACATTTTCTCTGCAGCTTTCAGGGATTCAGACGAATTTTTCATTCTTATTTTCCAAGATCAGGCACTCAAGGCAGGTCCCTTTTGCATTGAGCCCACGGCCATGGCCACAACACCTGTACCCTTGATCACGGTCCTCATTGGTCAGTGACCATCCCCTCTCATCCCCACCTTTGGCCCCCTACCTGGTTATCCGCCTGGGCTCCATGAAACTAGGTGAGTCCCGACGCCTCTTACGAATCGGTGAGTAACTCCGGGACCGTCGCCGGGGTCTAGTAGCTTCCCCCTCTGGGTGCCTTGTCCGGCCATCACCTTCCTTCTCTCTGAAACAGAGAGAGGCTCACATTAACTAGAATTGTTGGTGGACTGTCAACCCTTGGGCCAGACCTTAGGATTTCCAAGTCCTCTTTTCCCTTATCCCTCCCATACACTCTGCGTTCCTTTTCTCATCTCTGACATTCTTCCATAGTGACACACAGACCTTCAAATTTCCAAAGCCCCCAAGCTTCAGGGCTGCCTTCCCTATGTGACTGTGGCCATGCCTGCTGCATCCTTACCATGGCCCTGCTAGACACTTTCAGTAGGAGTTCTTTGAGAAGCTGGATGCCCACTACCTTCCAGGGGCTGCAGCCCTATTTGACACCCCCCCACCCCTCCTACACCAAGCAGGGGCTTGCAGCTTGTGATTTTCTTCCATAGAGGAGCAAGGGTGTAGCTTTCATCAACCGTCTTCTCCTGGGGGTGGGAGTAGGGGAGTAGGATCTAGAGGACTAGTAGCTGGAGGTCCAGGGATTGGGACCTAGGAGGGGTACACCCTCTCTGCATCAACACCAAGTTTGGATGGCAACCAGGCCTACCTGGGGAAGGCACTTTATCACACTGAGGGGTGTGTATGGTAGGGAATCAGGTGCCTTTTCCAGGAGGCCCAGAGGGGCTCCAGACACTAGGTCATTGCTTACAATTGAAGTCTTTAGCTTGGGAGAGACTTTAAGCACCTAGTCATATGGCAGAGGAGAAACCTGGAGCCCACAGAGGGTAACTATATTCCCAGGGTCACACAGGTTAAAAGTCTTGGTGCTAGAATTTAGTTTCAGCCTTCGGGTTCCAAATTCATTGGGCTCTCTCCTCTCTATCACTCAGTGGGTGATACAGACTGGGTCAGTTAGGTGATGACTAAATCTGCTTGATTCTGGGAAATGTGCCTGGACAAGCACTAGCCGGTCTCATTCTGTCTGGGCCTCAGTTTTCCCAGATGTAATGAAAAGTGGCTGTATTCATGACTTTTCAAGCACCTTCTAGCCTCCATGATCTTTACCAGCTAATGATACAAGGATGCTCCCGGTTACTAACTTGGGATCCTCTCGGAACCTTCTCTGTGTATTCCCATCCCCCTTGCCAATAAGCTTAAGAAGATTCCTTCAGAGCTAGAAGGAACCTTAGGGACCACTAAGGCCAGACTCTTCATTTGACAGTAGAAGAAACTGAGGCCCATTGAGGTGCAGTGATTTGCCCAAGGTCACACTATAGTGAGTCAAAGACCTGGGATTTCAACCCAGGTCCTTTAGACTCCAAATGCACTTTCTTTCAACTGTCCCATGATGTGCTTAGGAAACTGGGCCTAATTTGAAGATCTATCTAAGAAAAACGTGTAACCAGGCTAGCCTGTCTGCTCAGTGACACACCAACTATATAAGGGCTAAGGAGAATGATTTTTGATCATCCAGAGTTTCATTCTACCCTGTCAGTGGAACTGAATAACTGGGAATTCAGTGGAGGTGTG